TTTTTCAAATGGCAACTGGACTTTCTTTGGTTTTCTTTGAAGACGTTTTGCTTCTCGTCCAAGAAGCTTCTTCAGCTCTGATGGGATGGTGGGGAATGGAAGGATTTACATTCCTTGCAGACAGCTGGTCATTTGCACTCTTTCAGAGAGCCGTTGAGGCCACTTGGAGGATTACCTGTGTCCTCAAAGTCACCTGAGTGGTGTAAATGGGTGGGTGGAGCCTTCTTGGAACTGCTGAAAGGACTGTGTTGTAGACCGGAGATAGATTCACTATCTCACTCAGGTGCACCACTCAGGTGACCCTGAGGACACAGATAAATCTCCAAGTGGCCTCAACGACTCTCTGAAAGAATGCAAATGACCAGCTGTCTGCAAGGAATATAAATCCTTCCATTCCCCACCATCCAGTCAGAGCTGAAGAAGCTTCTTGGATGAGAAGCGAAACATCTTCAAAGAAAAACGAAGGAAGTCCAGATGCCTCTTGAAAAAAAGCACCTTTGGGACGCACCAGGAATGTTTGCGATGAATTTATAGGTGTGCTATTGGAGTAATGAACGTTCAGGATGTGTGTGGATAACACCCCACTGTTGGCTGAGAACGCAAACGCTTGGCACAAATGTTAGAAAGAGGATGGGATGCAAGTTAGAGTTCCTAACTTAACAACTTGCAGCGATTTGCTTAACAACGGTGGCGAGAAAGGTCGTAAAACAGGTCATAACGCATTTGACAACTTGTTTCACTCAGCAACACAAATTTTGGCCTCCGTTGTGGCCGTTAAGGCTACCTGTATATGAACCGTGGAAGCAAAGATTGGAAAAAAGTGACAGAGAGATACAGCGAAGGGGGTGGCATTGAAAGTGAACCCTGAAACTTTCTGTGGAGTTGCAGAAGAAATGGGAATAAGTCAAAATATTAAAAAACGCCACGCAGATGAATATTTCAAGGTCATTGTACCTGTAATGGGGATGGTTAGCCCTTTGGTCTTGTGTTCTGGGAGAAAGGAGACCAGATAGCTCTCAGACACACACACACCCCACCTTAACAGGAAGTCCCAAATAATCGAATGCTAGAATTTCAGGTCCTCCTCGATCCAAGATTCTTCTGGAGATTCGCCAGAAGACATACTAGCGGTCTTCCAATACTTGAGAGGCTGTCACAGAGAAGAGAGGGCCCAGGGGGGGAGGGCAAGATGGAACGGGCGGAAGCTGATATCAAAGAGAGATCCAGCCTAGAATTAAGGAGAAAGTTCCGGAAGAATTCATCAATGGAACCACTTACCTCCGGAAGTTGTGGGCGTTCCGTCACTGGAGGATTTTAAGAAGAGGCTGGACAGGCGTTTGTCTGAAATGGCATAGGGTCTCCTGCTTGAGCAGGGGGCTGGACTAGAAGACCTCCAAGGTCCCTTCCAGCCCTATTATTCCATGTTCTAATAAGAGTTGGTTTCTTTTTGGATTTTGCTGTGCTGTTAGGGGCATGACAAACGTGCCCTATTTTTTTTTTTACCTGACAGAACGTGACTTATCTGGGAGACGTATCTGTGATCTTTCTCTCAAATAGTGCCCTTCGAGTCATTTTTGACTTCTGGGGATGAGCGGAGAAGTCCCTGCGGTTTTCCCGGCAAGATTTTCTGTGAGTAGATTGCCACTCAAGTGCCTTCTTCCTAGTGGTGAGACACACTGGCTCTAAGTCAACCCAGCTGGATTTGTGCCCAAGGCAGGACTAGACTTCAGATTTTTTTAGTTTGTAACCCAGCACCTTCACCTCTAGAGCAGTGTACTTCAAACTAGGCCACTTTAACAGAGGTGGACATCAACTCCCAGAATTCCCTAGCCAGTAAAGGCTGGGAATTCTGGGAGTTGAAGTCCACACTCCTTAAAGTTGAGTTTGAACTTCTGTAGACCAAACTGCTCTTCTTTTCTCTCTCTCTCTCTCTCTCTCTCTCTCTCTCTCTCTCTCTCCCTTTCTTCTTTCTTTCTTTCTTTCTTTCTTTCTTTCTTTCTTCCTTCCTTCCTTCCTTCCTTCCTTTCTTCCTCCTTCCTTCCTTCCTTCCTTCCTTCCTTCCTTCCTTCTTCCCTCCCTTCCTTCCTTTCCTTTCTCCCCTTCCTTCTTCCCTCCCTCCCTCTTTTTCTCCCTCTCCTTAATTGTACAAAGTAAGAACTTGGATTCAAATTCAAGTAGTTGCTCTTGTTCACTTGCATTTCCTATCCCCCTCTCCATGATAATTGTTGAGAAATATATACACTGATGAAATACTGAAAGCCAAAAGCCAGATGTGGTCTTAGGATACGGTTGCATCGAGGTTCACACGTTGAGTGACAAGCACATAATCCCCTGTGAAATATCGCAAGAACAGACTCTCGATACAACGTTCTCTTTCCAGATCGATTTTAGCCGTGTGTATTTTTCCCTCTGGTGTGTGAATTAAATAATAATTAAAAAAAACCTGCCCCAAAACAATCTCAATTTAATCCTAGGAGTATCTCTATCACCAAGACTGTCCTCTCCCGTCCCACTAGTATTTTTTTTTTTCAATGCACAAATTACAAACTTGATGAAAAGGCAGAGAACTGGGGACAAATAAATAGAAATAACAGATGCAGCTTCCGGGGGAATGCAGGTGGACAGTTTTTGATCTTAAGAGGGTGAAACTATGCTAGGCTCCTAATGCATTCAATTGCACTTTTGAAATGAGACAAGGAATTCAAACTCAAGGCAGAAATTGGGATGAGATCAACTTAAGCAGGTGTTCCAGCAATCAACCTGGCTAACAGTCATCAGTCAGACCTCAGATTCCAGGGATTCAGTTATAAAACCCATTTCCTTTCCCCATTAATAGGAATTACAACGATTTGTTTCACTGACACCAAAGAGGAAAGCAAGCAAGATTGGGACGCACTTTTCCAGTGAACACACACACTCACTCACAAGATTAGTAACAGCAACCATTTGTCAGAAGAAGTCAAAGGGGTCTCCGATATCCTTCCAACATTGGCAAATTCACTTTCAAGAATGGGGAAAAGTCCCCGGGTTTTAAAACATCTGTCCCACAATGGGGGGGGGGTGATTTTGTCCAGGCCTTTTCATAGCTCAGCCCTTCGTCATACGGCAAATGTGCAAAGCCACTTGTCACGGGAGACAGCTTTGATAACCCGGTGTCTAAAATGTAGTCTTTATAAAGTCATTACAGGTAGTCCTCGGCTTACAACAGTTCATTTAGTGACCGTTCAAAGTTGCAACTGAAAAAGCGACTTAGGACCCTTTTTCACCCTTATGACCGTTTGCAGCCTCCCCGTGGTCACGTGATCAAAATCCAGACGCTTGGCAACTGGCATGTACTTAGGACGGTTGCAGTGTTCCGGGGTCATGTGATCCCCTTTTGCGAGCAAGGTCAATGGGAAAGCCAGATTCCACTGTGTTACTAACTTAACAACTGCACCCATCCACTTAACAACTGGAGCAAGAAAGGTTGTAAAGGGGGGGGGGCAATGCTCACTTAACCATCTCTCTTAGTAACAAACATTTTGGGCTCCACTGTGGTTGTAAGTCAAGGACTACTTGTATGTATTTTATTGCAGTGTTTGGTTGACATGTCTTAGATCCTTATTCAAGATGCCCTGTCTTGGCTGTTTCATCCTGTACTTCGATTTTTGCTACTATATTTCTCAGAGATCTTTAAAACATCTTCTTCAAAGATAGAGTTTATTGCTAAAAATGTTTTGCTCAGTCACGGCTGGTATGTACACACTGATACGTTGTCCCAAGGATATTCAAGTAAACATTTTTCAATATCTCTAGCTTTCCCTCTCCGCTCTTCTATACACAAACGTTAAAAATAAATAAACTGTACACGAGAAAGTTCTTTTAACATCTCTACATTACTATATGTATTCCCCCCTCGCTTCCCCCCCAAAAAAATCACTCTTTCATAACAACATATACTTAAAAACAAAACGAAATATCCTTATTCAATATACATTTAAAAAAAAAACAAAAACACAACCCTAGACAACTCTGAACATTTGTCTGAAGATTCAGTAACAAGTTTGGAAAAGGCAAAACAAACAACCAGGAGCGCAGGAATCAGAAATCAGGGCATTTTAAAGGAGTTGTAAGGATCGGGCATTATAAACCAGCATTGTAGGAAAATATCCTCTCTTTCTTATATGACAAAGGAAACTGCACAATTTCAAAATGGTTGAAGCTTCAATATGTGGTCCTGCATTGTTTTTTTTCTTCTTATTATTATTATTAATAACAAGAATTTAAAAACACACACACACGCACACAACAACAACAACACACACACAAAAAAACCCACAACAGGATTCCCTCCTCTTTTAAAACTCTCTATATGTACAGCGGGTGGCGATTCTAAATTTTGTTAGAACGCTATATACGTATAAAAATAGACATCTCAGTGTAGCTTTTTTTTTTTCCCTTCTTCTCTTCCTCACGGCCTGCACTGCAGTTCCTCCGGGGGTTTCTTTTCCCATTTCAAATAAAATAAAATAATTAAAAAAGAGAGAAGGGGAAAGGAGGGAGGGAAGCAGGGAGGGAGGCAGGAGAAAAAAACAAATAACAACAGTGCAAAGGGTTTGGGGGAAAGAGGACAGAGAAACCATAAAGCGAAGTGTCTGTAGTCTCTTTGTCAACGCGAGACTCCTTAAACATTTTTTTTTCAATTCAACCCTCCGAGCTTCGCTGGGGTGGTGGTGTTGGAGGATGATTGGCACCTGTCAAGTCCGTCAACCCAGATGGCTTGAGTTCCTAGCCACCTTCTCCCCGGTGATGCTTCAGCCTTCGGGGTGGATCCCGGTGTAGGATCTGGTGCAGCCTCACGTCCTCTCCTCCTTCCCCCACACCCCAAAGCATTAGCGGGGCTTCCAGCTCAGGCTCTCCAACCAAGAGCCCCATCTCCATCAACGCATGCTGCATCCATCCGGGGGGAGGGAAGGGGAAATGCTCCCCCCTAAGTCCTCCGTCTTCCCCCCCTCCCATAATTAACAGGAGCACTTACACTCTGAAATCACCGGATACTGAACGGGGATCCACGTGCAGTATTTCTGCTTGGACCATCCTTGGCAGTACCATCTCAAGAAGGTCTTGGTGACCGACTTGACCGGCTTGCAGGCCATCCCTTCGGGGAAGGAACAGGACCGCTCGGCCATACAGTTCCCTTCCTTGATGTACCGAGGCCAAAATCTGCTGCCCAGGTCCTTCCAGGTGTACATCACCGGACAGTAGGTGTACGCCCAAAGCCACTGGAGAAATTTCCGCCGGGCTTTTTTCCCTATCTTGACCTTGGTCCTATAGGGCGTCTCGGCCAGGTCCAGCTTCTTCAGCTCGCCGGGTAGAGTTCCCTGACCTTTGAACTTGTGCAAAGGCTCCAAGCTGGAGAGGTTGCCCTGAGCTGGCGCTGCCACCGACATGAAGTTGGGGTCAAAATGGCTCCCCAGCTTCTTGCGTAAAGTCCGGTCGTCCAAGTCTTGCTCCTTGGGGTCATATTCGGGATCCGGATGCTCGATAATATCCTTGATGGGCAGGTTGTCGCTCGGGGAAGGGCGGAGCCGAAGGTAGGGCTGGAAGGAGCCCGGCTGAAGCAGCA